TGTAGGGCTGCTGGAATGACCAGTGCTGAGCAGAGCTAGTCAGGAACAACTGCTTAAAGGGAGTGGGCATGTGGAGAAAGAGGGGCCTTGACTGACCAAAACCCAGGGCCCTGAGCCACATTCTTGTCGTTCCTCTCAGATGACCTGGACCTGGACGAGCTCCGGCTGGAGATGGAGGACTCAAAGCCATACCCCAGTGTTCAGTGTAGCCCTATTCCAGGTATTCTGGGAAGCAGGGGGAAGCGGGTGGGGAAGGGGTATCCCACCACCTAGATGAGATGCCAGTTCAGCCTGGCATATCCGCAGCCATGCTTTGGGCACTTTCTTTGCCTGACACCCAACCTGCTGGGGGAGAGTAGCCTGTTCTGATAATTCCTGAGGAAGGAGCTAGAGTTCTTTCCCTTGGGTGGCTACTCATGGGGAGCAGCGTTAGGGGGTTGGTGGGACGAGTCAAGCAACCTTTACAAATGAGCCAATTAGAGGTTATGCATGCAGGAGAAAACTGTGCTCATTAAGAGCAAGAAGAGTGCCTTGATCCCACAGCTCAGGGTGGCCTGTGGGGCCGCTTCTGAGCATTCCCTCAGTCTAAGAGCTACAGTGCAGAGTCCTAGAGTCAGATGGGACTCTGAAAGGTCACCTGCTCCATCCCTCTCTGCTCCATCCCAGAAACGTTGCAGTCTCTCTTTATCAAAACTTTCCAGGATGGAAAAACTCCACAGTATCCCTGGGTAACTTTTTACAGTACTGTCTAACCCTTACAGCTTAGGAAGCCTCTTTGAGAGTCTAACCTAAATTCATCTTGCTGTTAAGAAAGAAAGAAAGAAAATTATCTTTCCCCTTGGCGCAATTCAACCTAAGGTGTTTAGAGTGAAGAATTCCCTTCCCTTGCATATAAAATGGTAACAGTCCACTCCAGAAGGCACATGGCATACTGCTTAGGCCAGGCTTCGGCCAGGACAGGAACTGTTCAGAATGAACAGAAAGCGATGAACAGTTTGCTGCTTCTATTTNGGCCAGGACAGGAACTGTTCAGAATGAACAGAAAGCGATGAACAGTTTGCTGCTTCTATTTCGTCCCGCCTACATTTTCCAGTTTTCCATCTTTCTTTGGCTCAGGCCCCTTGGCCTTCTCCCCTTGCCCTCTCTAAAGTCTATAGAGGGCTTGCCTGACCTTGCCCAGCACTAGCTCTTGGCACTTAGTGACAATGGCACGCCCCCTAGTGCCAACCCAGGGCCAGAGCACTNAGGAAATGAAGAAATAATATGTCCAAAGTTACAAGATCATTTAAGAACAGACTCTGGGGAGAGAGATGGAAAACACCAAGATCTCACCCATGTAGTGTGGAGCCAGGTTGGAAAACCCCAGAAGTTGTCTGTATTTTAATTCACTTGGTAAGCTTCACCTCCCCAGTGCTGGCTGACTGATGAATATTAAACGCAGTCTGCACCCTCTCACAGAGCAAGGGAGAGCCAGCCTGGCCGGAGCTCACCCACAGCAGAGTCCTTCATAGATCACTGGGCACTGACTGGGAGAAGCCGAGCCTCGGGCCATAGAGTGGTTGGTTACTCTCTGGGCAGCCCCTCAAGCCACCTCATTGTTACTTTCCAAACTGAGCCTACTTCACATGGTAGAGGTGGGCTCCCTTGGAGCCAAGGCTGTGTGG